GCCGCCACTGGTGGGGGTGAGAAACGTGCTCGTCACCCCTCGAGAAGCGCCTCGAGAGACTCAGTAAGCGCCGCGAGTTCGCCGTGGTTGGAAGCGTCTCGTGGTGTCTTCGTTCGTATTGGATACACGAGATACACGGCTCTGTTCGTATTGGATACACGAGAATAGAGGAACAGCTCTCTATTCAAACACCCGTTGATCTCACCGAAATAGTTTCTATCCGGAGATTAGACAGTTCGATTCAAGGTCGTTCGTGGTAATCAACGATTAAGAACGACGAGTAAAACGTATCGAAGTGTGGTCTCGTACGGGACAGATTTTGTTAGAAGCGTTGAAATTCGCCCGACACCGAGACACGAGAAAGTAATTACGATAAGAGGTCCTCTTCGGCTGGCTAGTAGAGTTGGTCTGTCTCGAGAGGGGCTTTTCCTCTCCTTCCAAAGGATCGCGGGACAGCTTCTGGCTAGCTGACGTCATCAAGAGCAAACAAGTAGATCGAAGATCCGTAGGAAAGGAGATATTATATCCCTGGGCTGAACGGGCAGAGGGACAAAGAACCACGGAGAAGTCACTGGTCCCGTAGACGGAAATAGTGGAAAAGGGAGAGGATCGGAGGTATAGGGGGGGATAGAGAGATACGAAGAAGGATTTCAGAGGGAAATAGTCGGACGTTACTTTGGACCATCTTCATCGATCATTCTCCCTTCGATACCATTCATCCCTGGTCGGAACGTTATTGGGCCTATTCAATCGGTGATATTTAATCTTTAGATTGTGTCAATTCGGAGATATTCGTATATATGTGCACACCACTGGAGCTCTCCTGAAGAGAGTCCGGGGAAGATGATAACAAGTGTCAGGATCGCGATGAACGTCCTCGGGTCCCTGGTCGACTGATCGGCAGAGACACCTCGAGAACGAGAGTGGAGGAGGCTTTTTCCCCGGCGAGATTAAAAAACGATGTCCGACAGGAGCAAGTGAGGATCCCTTTTTGCGTGTCCCTCTTTTTTTTCGGTGATTCTATACTCGACGGGAGAAGATGTGCTTGCGACACTTGCTGCTCTGCCTGCTGGGCGTCATCGTAGTCGTTAACGGTAAGCTTTTGTCAACTTACACTTTCTACACTTGTCCTTCTGAACTTTTAGTTTTACCCAAGGGAACGGAAATAATCGCGAATGATTATTTCCTGGGAATAATATTTAATCGAGGATAAGAATTAAGAGTAATCGATGGGTGAATGGGTGATGGGCTCTCTCCTGTTTTTCACTTTCAAGCCGAATCAACAGGAAGAATATTTTTCCAACTATTTCGAGCGTTGAAAAGTTGCGAGTTCGTTCGCGTTAACTTAAAGTTCGCGGAATTCTCGGCAAATTACTGATTTGGCAATCCAAGGTTAATGTTTGTGCGAATTTAGAAAGAAACGATTCTCATTCCGTGCACCAGTTTTTACCACAATAGAGTGTCTTAATTTTCCCCCTTCTTAAGATTCTTCACCCTCGAACTAAAGTGATCGCAGTGTCCACGTTACTTTCCAACAAGAAATCACGAAATTTACACGTTATTAGTTTAGACGACGAAGTTCGATATCACTTTTTGGTACAGTTAGGCGTGTCTGGCCTGTGTATTCCCAGTTTTCGCCGTTTTGATTTATCGTAGAACTTTCCGTGCAGATATTTTGCGACCGTTCCTACCGATGATTTAGGAAAACGACCGTGGAACGGTGCTGCGTCATTGAAACTCTCGAATGGAGCAATCGGTACGGTTTGTTTTTCGTTCGTTCTCGAAGGAATCAGAGAGTTGTTGACGTGTACATTTCGTTCGATTCGCGCGGAGATTGCAGCTTGATACGAGTGTTCCCGTGGAATTTCGTCGAATGAGCTGCTCGAATCAGGTGTGTTTTTGTCCGTGTATGAGGAAGAAGGGCGAATACTAAAGTGTCGTAAAGCGGCAGGGAAGTTCGTAGCTAACCAGCTTCTGTCCGAAACTACTTGCCAACTATTCTTTCTTTTTTGCTTCACCCCTTCTGCGCTTCACTCTAAATTAGTTAATAAAGTCGGAGAAAGAGGAAACTGGCTTAATCTGCTTCTAAAATGGAAGAGAATAGGGTTAATCCTCGGGCTGTTGACACAAAGACACATTGGAATCTTCGTAGTATTGACGTAGCAATAACTTGATGTTGATAATCGCAAACTTAAGCTAGGAAGCTAATTATTGAATTTTAAATCACCGAAATTCGAAAGTTGCGCGATATTGGGAATTAACTTAGCTTCAAATTTCATTATCCGATCATTGAATTCGTAATTAGAGTTCCAATGCTGTTAAATATTAAATTCCGAATTTGTAGTAGATTTATCTTGAAATTATTAATGTTTTCAGCGTTTTGAGTACTGTTACTATTCTCCTATATAGGGTCTCTCAAAGTTAAACCGAGGAGAAATGTAAACATAGGTTCGAGAAAGATTAATAAAACAAAATCTATCAGATTTTATGAAATAATTGTTACACGAAGGTATAATACAGGGGCTTATAATTCCTTTTTCCACTGGATACACTTTACATCCACCAGATGAAGTTTCGATTCTGTCGATTGTTTCCACGCAAAGTAGAAAATGACTGAAATTTTCTTCGACCAATTGTACGGACAGACGAATGTACATTTACAAATAACGGAATGTTCAATATTCGTGATAAATTCGACCTATCAAAATTGCGAGATATCTGGCGATATTAAAGTAGAAAGTTCCGCGAAGTTGTTCCAAGTAAAAACAAAATGCAATTCCATTTCAAGAAAAAGTGTATTTGCATTTTCCTACTGCATCGTTGCACTTACGAAGAAAGTAATGCGGTAACATAACAGACATTTCTGTACCATTCTGTTGAAAGTTTTGATTAATTGTGAAAAAACAACACGTAATGTTTATAAGTTGTTTATTACAATGAATAACTCCAGTGGAATGTACCAGTGAACGGTAAACTATTGTGACTAGTTGGTTCCTTCGAGTCCTCAGGCAAGCAAGGGGTGCAATAAACCCAGGTCAAGAGACTTTCCTCGCTTACGCACCGAGAGAGTACGCGCACGTTAACGGTGAATTCCAACACATTCAACTTTCTCCTCGACAGTTTCTTTCCATGGTGTAATTCCAAATCCGAGGTGTAATTCGTCGAAATTGCGCGACGCACCCTGAATACCATCGGTCCCGTGCACGGTGGTATAATGCTCCAAGGAGCGAGCCTAAGTAGACGGAGTAGTGGGACAGGTTGCCGAAATGTCACTGGGAAGAGTTAAGTGAAGCTAGATTACGGGCGTTAAGTCGTCGAGTGGACGTTAAAGCAGCCGTGCGACCGTTCCCAAAGAGATTCTTCGGGGGCGGTTCACAGCAAATAGTTGCAAGGAAAATAAAACAGGGAACGGCCGCGGGCTAACGCGCGTCGTTTTTACACATGTCGGCAGATTTTACGGCGAGCCAACCCTCGTAATCTACGCGACAGGAGGACGGAGAAACGCTGGGTACAAACAGACAGAGAGAGAGAGAGAGAGAGAGAGGGGCGCCGCTCGCAATGGGCGAAGAAAAGGGGGATTGTAAAAAAAGCCAACGCGGATCGTGGGGTGTTAACGCGCGCATTAACGGAGCTTTCGTCGGGGGAATAAAAAACGATATGCATGGATGGACGGTGGATTTTCGTGTCGACCCTAGAAAATCTGCAAGGTGAAAGAGCACGAAGCCGTGAAAGTGAATCAAAACGTGTTGTTTCTCTCGTTTTTTTTTTCGTTTCTTGTTTTATTTTTGCTCTCCACCCTTTGTCTCGTACCTTTGTCAGGACAGAGAGAGAGAAGGTTTCCCTGTCGATTCGCTTTTGGAACCGTTGGAATGAATGAAAATGCGTGGCGTTTTTAAGGGTTCGTTTTCCCAGCTGCTAACCTCCTCTTTCTCCGGTTAATTCCTTCCCCTTTTTATTCGTCTACTTTCTCCTCGTGTTTTCCCTCGTTCCTCTCTCTCTCTCTCTCTGTCTTTCTCTGCGTGTTCTCTCGATTCGCGAAGAGCGAGAAATTCGTTTAACGCGTGATCGATTGGTTCGCGTAGGGAAATCGGCCGAACGAACACCCGGTAAAATTGCACTGTTTATGTTCAATTACTTAGCAGTGTACCTTGCAATAAACAAGATTACGCGTCTAATGAAATATGTACTCGGTTCGACCCGTTTAATTTCATTTGTCGAGTGTTTCTGTAGCCGCGATTCAGCGGTTCACTTTTCCCTACCACCGTCTCTACTACTACCCTCGTTCCATTGCCCGTTCCCACTCAGACCGCCGGTTTTATTGTTGCCAGTTTTATGAAGGGTTCGTTCCTTGCTTGGAATTAAGTCTCGTTCGTTTACATGCCGGCTTTAAAGTTAAACGACTCCGTTATATTGTGGCCCGACAAATTGTGATGTCGCTTGACGAGCATAGACTGCTTCGAATAATTTTCGGGATTATCACGTTTTGCCAGTAAATTTCCCGGGGTGATTGAGCTTCTGGTATGTTTAATAATACGTCTGCGGAGGGTTAGAATTGGGAATAGCACGTGATAGCACCGAGTATTGAATGATAATGTCGAATTTCCAACGCTTCTTTCGGTTTAAGTTCGAATGTCTGACCGTTCGTTGATCTTTTCTACTGATTTTCCTATAGCCTCTGACTTTTGATAGATCTTTTCTACTGATTCTCGTATATTTTTATTTTCTCTCTCTCTAAATGTATGAAATCCCTATGAATTTGTTTACATAAGTTAAGAATTTAATTCAGATTTATAGTTTGCACGTTAATTTTTAATTTTGTCAAATACTTTGCTTGTGAATTTTTCAATATTAAAATGTACAAATGTTTGGGTAATTTCTGATCTACTTGTTTCTTATAATGCATGTATATTATGTACATGAAGTTTGCACATCTATGGATTTGTTCCACTTGCCCACTCATATTTCACTCCTTCCTGGTCTAAACCTATAAAACTTCCATAAATTCATTAGAAACGTCGAAAATAAACGTTAAATCGATCATTTTCCTGTTGAATATTGAATTTCTCCACGTAATTTGGAAAATACCAAGAATGTAATAATTTGTACGTTGTACTAAAATATGTCTGACCACAGGCAGGCCTGTTCCACTTGTCTCCCTTACAATTTCTGAACATGTATTATTCAAATTATATTATACTATGCCACCATATTACACTATACTAAACTACTATTATAACACACACAAAATACAAATCTTGCTCCCTTGTAATTCTATCTCTCCATTTTTCCCCATCAGTTTAGTACAAGTATTAAAAATCCCTTCCGCATTAGCATTTTACACACAATTAATTCCTGCAAATATTTGTTAATTCACAAGAAATTGAATAACTTATAATCCCTCCCGTTGCTTCGTGCCAACCAACTAAATACGCCTTTCTCCGCGGAAAATCGTCTCCCCTTTCATCGTCGCTGTATTAAAATTAATACGGCAGTTTATTCCTTCCGAATACATCGTCGGTCTATTCCTCTCGAAAATACACCGCGTCGCACACAGCACAGGATTGCACGGCTAAAAGCATCGGTCCATTTGTCGTCTGAGCGTGAGCAGAAAGAGAGAGAGAGAGGTAGAGAAAAAAGAGGAGAAAAATAAAAATAAAGGATAGATACGGGAACCGTGACGGAAATCAATCTAGACAGAGGGCGAGACGGCGGCGGGCACAGTAATCTTCAGATTTATTTTTATTAATCCCGGGGTGATCGATCCGGTTGCCAACCGAACCGCGAATACTTGCCAGTGAAATTTACCGAAATATTGCGGCCGTTACGGCGTTCCCAAATATTTCGCGGCCGGGCAAATATTTATAGCGGGCTGTAAAACTGTATCCGTGCATCCGTTCGAAATGAGGAAGTGAATTTTTCTCGATTTCCCCGGCATCGAAACTTGCGCCACCGTACCTCTCCTCCTACCGCTTCTGCCGACGCTTCTGTTCGACCTCTTCAAAGATTCAACGCGACTTCAATCTTTGACGAGCACGCGCAATCGAACACAACCTTTTTTCGCGGAGGAAATTAATACTCTTCGCTCTCTATCTCT